TTTTTTTTTTGCTTAACAGCCTCCAGAAAGGTTGTTTCTGCATTTAAAATGATAGATATGCTTAATAAGTAAACATGATTTTGTTTATTAATCATAGGTAGATTCAATTTTAATATCTATAGCTCTATGTAGGTATTCTATGAAAAATTAAATGTTGTATGTAGTGTCTGTTATTCTAGGCCTCATTCTTTGCCCCCAGTTTTAATGAATTACTATCATATTACTATCATACCCAAAGGAAGATTCTGCTCTTCTCCTTGTCTTTACCAAAGTTACCAATAAGATATTCATTTCAGATCCCTTCAGTCAAGGTAAATCAGGGTTGTCATCCATAAAAACTGACATTAAGTAGCTTCAGGATGAATAACTTGTTAAGTAATTCTTAAGGATAAGAAGAGGTTATGATTAAAAAACAAACCACAAGGACAATCTGGAAACTCTTTTCCTTTCAAAGCCGAAGGACGTACTGCCATTTACAAGTAGGACCAATTGGTCCATTTCTGTGGAACTTTCACAATGGGTTCAGTGCTGTACAAACGTTGTCCCCTTTCTCCTCCCTATATGACTGCTACCAGCTACCTCCAAGTGAGGCATTTCTGGGATAGATGGACCTTTTATCTCTTATGTTCTGAGCAACCTAGGTTTTCCCATCCTTACCTCTGCACTGAAAGGGATGTGCAAGATTGGGAGCCCTGTTTTTCTTCTGTTGTTGCTGGTTTTGTTTTGGTTTGGTTTTCCTCCTTTCGTTCTTTCCCTTCTTAAATTTCAAGTGTGCTTTATTGTACGAGGAAAGTAAGGTTTGGTACAGGGTTTTTAATCAGAGTGAATGCATTCTGATGCCTAAAAGATTGAAGAAAAATTACTAACTAGCAATTTTTGCATTTAGTCAGCTACTGCTGTAATTCATTGATTGCAAAATCTAATATCAAAACTCAGACTGACTTCAATTTTCATATCTCATGTGGAATGTGGCCCAATTTTTTAAATTTTCAGTATAAACATTTAGCGCTCTAAGCATAAATCGTTCCCGTGCTTTGCAGGCAATAATGTACTCTTTGTTCATTAGTGGTCTTTGGGGAGGTAGCTACATGCGTGTTTTATAGAAGCAGTTTATTTATTAACATACAGATCCCAGTGTGAACATCAGCTTTAAGGAGCCACTTGAATATTTAGAGTTCGGGAGGTTATATCTATAACTCAAAAAGGACATTAGTTTCAGGAAACAGATATAATTCACCTTCTCTGTGTTTCAAGGGCTCTTGGAAATATAAAAAAACCCCACAGTTGTAGTGCCTTTAGGTGTGATCAGACATGCAGATTTAAAATAATTTAGAACTTATTTTTGAAACAGATTTTCAATATGAATAAAACAGGGGTTAATTTTACATATCATTTTACAAATTGCATGATAGAAGAAATGGAATCATGAGATGAAAGCCCAGATCATAATGGGGATAACCCAGCTAGAATAGGAAGTTCCACAAATAGCCAATGCAACAAATATTTAAAGAACTTGAAAACTTGCATCTAACCCTTGTCTTGTTCAATGCATGAAATTGATTCAACACCACAGTAGCCAACTGTCACGTAAATTTGTGAGCCCTTTTTAATAATTCGGACAGCAATTATGAATGTATGTACAAACATAAAACTGTAAAAATCATAAAGAATATATATGTGTATGGTGGAACACTTTAGGAGTGGTGTAAGGTGAACAAGTGACAGTGAGTTCGTATTCAGTAAAGCTCTTAATTCTACCTTAGTGCCTTTTATATTTTGTGTAACATTTCACTGTTTGCTTGAGTCAGACTGCATTCACTGGAGTTAGATAATAAGCTCTAGTGCCTTGCTGAATCAGGACAGAGTTTTTAAGGCAAACATAAATATTTAATGTAATACAGTGAAATTCTTAGTAAGTAGGAGAGAAAGGAAAAAAACTAAATGCAGAAACCAGATTTCAAACAGAGGATCAGAATTTCAAGTCCAGCCATAGGCTTTACTCACAACGGGCTTCACCCATAACAGTGTATAATCATTTATGAATCAGCCTTGAGCACTGTGTGCGTGTAGCAGTCCTCATCTTTACAAACAAGCACTTTCCAGCCCAATTCCAACCTATTTTCCTTTGCCAGAGACAGCTATCACTGCAGAACAAAAGATGAGCTGCACTCATGACTGGTTGGCTCTGTTCCAGCATTGGTAAAACAAATCATTAAAATCAAGCAGCCAGCCTTTTTTAATGAACTATGTGTACTCTTGTTATTGTGACGGATGGCTTTGATCTGCAGAGAGGGAGACTAAGAACCATAAAGGAGAAATCCAATTCTTTTACTGCATGGTTAAGTACTAGCCACAAATGTGATATACATATGCATATATGTTATGTATATCTATCTATATATGCATATCTATATATTTGTATATATGCATGTAAAACTCTAGTGTATATACATGTGTATGTATGCCTTATACTCCACATAAATATATAGTTTAACTAATACATAAAACATGATATATACAATAATATTTAGAATAAAAATATCACAATGTAGTATATAATATATACCTATATTTCTAAACCTACATATATCATATTTATAGGCAACACATTTACATAGGTAAAGAGCTCTAGATACCCATATGACAGATTCACAACACAACTGCCCCTATCCAGGGAAAATCACAGAATTACAGAATGGGTGAGGTTGAAATGGACCTCTAGAGATCACAGAATCACAGAATCACAGAATGGTTGAGGTTTGAAGGGACCTCTAGAGATCATCTAGTCCAAACCCCCTGCTCAAGCAGGGACAAGGCCCCTCAAGCAGGGATCTGTTTTATCTACGAGTACTTCTTTTCCCAAATGTTTCCAGATTACAGTATTGAGAACTAGCTCGCCAATGCGCTCACGTGCATACAGCAACGCAGTGCTTCCTGGGTGCCGGCTCTTGGCCACACTAGACTGTTCAGACCATCTAGGGAGAATATATGCACAGATGGTGGTGATCAAGTAAATAGATTTTTAAAAGTTCTGGCTAGGCTTGTAACTCTGTCAGCAACCACTTGGGTGGATCTCCGATCAGAGAACTCAATACTAAAATAACTGACATTAAGCCTAAACATGGAATGATGTTGAAGCAGCTCCTCTTGGTATTTAGCATTTTGATAGCTAATGATTTTTCATCTTTTTTATCCATTTATGGATAAAAAGGGCTCCACAGATTTGGTCAATTTCAAGACAAAATTGTATCAGGGACTCTTCAAGAAACTTTGTGAAAATGTTTAACTAGAAATATGTATTTCTTATTTATTGGTTTATTAGGCCCTCTTTAAACCTTCATGAATAATTTAGCCTGAAATAAATTTTTCTCCACGGAGCTCTCTGCTTATTTTACCCAACAGTTTCAATAACAAGTTTTTAATGTGTTTTTCCATTTCCAGTATTTCCAAATACATTTAGGAGCCTAATTTCTTAAAACTAATGAATGCTGCTTCTTCTTTTATGATCCATTGCTACTGCTGCTTGGCCACAAATTACAGCACCTACAAACTTTCTCTTCTCTCTTGACAAATCTTGCCATAACCTGAAACAATTCCACTATGTAAAAAGTACTAAGTCTTTTGTACAGGTGAACAGCTCTTCTATTTTTCATGCCATTATCAGATTGGCCTGTTCCTGCAGAACTGTAGCATTTTTGCAATCAGGTTAATAATCAAAGACTATTTCTCACTCTGTGAATGCTGCTGATGAAAGAGTGAACCTTATTCTCTCATGCTTAGCTATGCAGAACAGTGCTATTCACTTAACCGTTTCAGCAATCTCTGAGACATGCAGATAAATGGGCTTTTACATTAACTGGAGTTATTGCACTGTATGAAGGTACGTAAGGTAGCACTTAATCTGGAGCATTAATTACTTAGGGATCCCTTATATTAGCCTGTTATGTATAGAAACCTGAAGTATGTAAAGATTTGGCTTGATCAACTAAACAAACCAGAGCATATAAAAGCAAATTTTGCCTTTTGGATGTACTATGTATCTTTCTCCCAAATTACAAATAACTACAGTTGATTGAATGTTTACAGAGGTACTTTAAATGTCTTTTTATTACAAGTATAGAAAGGAGTAATACTAATTGCTCTATCAAAGCACTTAGTATTCAACCACTCTGGTATTGGAATACAAAAACCATTGCAAACAACAGACTTTACCTTACTCAACTGTTTTTTTTTATGTAAATACAGAAGACTAGCTTATGTATGGCGTGCACAGAATGAGCGCCTACACTGAACCTGAAGATTATTCTGAGAGTAGGTTTGCTCTTCTTTTTATTCTTCCTTAGAGAAATTATTCTAAATTTTCATTTCCTGTTTGCTAGATTCAATATAAGCAAATATAAAGCCAAGGCCATATTGAATCGACGTGTGGATGGGAATGCATTTACAGTGTCACAACTTCAGAGCGTACACAGGTCAAACGCAAACCAGAAAGGTGGTATTTCCCAGGGCAAATGCTGTTTTTTGTTAGACTATACCTCACACATCCTTCACTGTGCAGATTAGCAGCTACAGGCATTTTCTGTAGTACAACAGAACTGAATGATGCTGAAGATTTCATTTAAAAAAATTACCATACAGTATTTTTCATACTGATTGGAATAAGCTGTATTGCAAAAATAATTTTTTGTGATAAGTATTGTGGGGTTGTACCACCTAACTATTACTCCATCTTAACAAAGTTACCATAAGTGACAGAATCAAACAATCTCTGTGCATAAACCAGCTCTTACATTTTATTTCTTTTCCTGTTTTGAAGCTCACTGAATTATTGTATTAATTATTGTATGACTGGATAATCCCTGACAAATAATCAAATTATTCATGATAAAAAACTGATTTTCTCAGATTCATTGATTACGTTTGACCATCAAACCCTTTCAGGAATTATATTAGCACAGTATTGTATTTTCATTGTTATTCTTAGAGAAGACATTTCATTACCATGCAGATGCAAGTGTTTCTGAGTCGGCTAACTGGTAGATGTGGCATGTAACCTGCAAACCATGGTTATTAAATCCCTCCATGATTTATGCACAAAACATAATTCAAATTGGACTGGCAATCCCACTGTCTTTTTACAACCACTGATTTTTTTTTTTTTTGAGATCTGGCATTTACTTATAGCGAAGTGGTGGGTGGATGTCTATTGTGTGTCCCAAGACACTATGTATCACCAATGAAGAAAGAACATTTAAAGGAAATGCACTCAGTAATTAGATTAATAATGGGCAATTAATTTGATAGAGGCAGGCAGCCTGTTTGAAAGCAACAGAAGCATATAACATAATCAAGGCATATTTGGCCCAATTACTTGCATTTGTTTATTTATTTTAAGGCATGTTAGGCACACATATTATCAATGTATTTTAATGCTTATTTCAGAAGGGACCATAATGTTTAACCATAATGTCTGTTGACTATAACACTAAACAGACCTTATATTTACTTCTAAGAATAGAGATGGCCAGCAAGCCATTTATTTAGGAATGCTTTTCTGTAGGGTGTCACAGTGCCAAGCAGGCATCTGCAAAACAGACTTCAAGTGCAATATTCAAGTGAGAAACCCATGTAAATTCAGCATATGGAAACAGACCTAAAACTTAAGGTATACACCAGCAAAATAGCCAAGAACAAGGCCTTTCACTACCCTAAAGCTAATCTAAATCCACTACCTCCCTCAGACGTGGGTCAGGGTATAGAAATCTTCCTGACGTGCTCTCATATCTGTTAAACATGGAGCTACTGCAGCCAACAGCAGGCAGTCATTGATTTCACACTGCTACAACACCGTCTGAAGAGAACCCTTTTAGCAAATGTGGTTATTTACCTGTCATAGTCTTGGCAAATCTCACCAACAGCTACCAATGCCTTCAAGTACTCATTGGGCTGATAGGGGTGGATGTAGTGCAGGGAGCAGCTGTTTCTAGGATCACCATTTGACGCAGTGAAATCTATAGCTACCTGCAAAAGAAGAGAAGTCAGTATGCCCTGCAGCTGCTCTGGGCAGCAGCATTCCCACACACCCAAGGTGTCTTTCCCAGAACCACTTTTCTGCAGATACTGTAAAAATCAAGCAAAGGTCATGCTACAGTGTCCTCCCTCAATTTATCTTGTGATGGTATTGATTTATTACTTATGTTGTAATAAAAATGAATCAAACTAGCTATCTCTACACTCACATTATTTCAACTCAGGTAATGCACAAGATATAAAGGCTATGTAGTTAAAATGTCCCTATAGATTTAAAAACTACTAAAAATATAAATTAATACTCCGGTTAGGGATATATCTTAGTTATTTTAAAGCTTGTTACATCTGTAGTAACACTACAGATAGGTGTAGGCAACACTCTCCACCTAGTGTTTTTATCTTCAAAGCATATTTTAAACATTAAATAATTAAACTTCCAATTTCATAGGCAGCAGGAAGCTTAAAGGTGAGCTGCAGGGTAAAAATAAAACTTGAATCCTGCACAGGTTTTTGTCCTCAAAAGGCTTACAAAAGGCTAGGGGAAGAAGTCAACACAAAAGAAAAATTTAATGAATCTTTTAAAAATTCATTTCCCCTTCTAAAATTCTCTTTGTACTTCCTACTGAAGATACTCTTGCAGGCATCTGTCTGGATCACAAGCAGAAACAGCATGCACTGGAAAGCCCTTTCCAGGATTTGTGATGCTGCTTTCTGGGAATTCCTAAAAAGGAGCAACAAGAAATGTAAGATGTCTCATAAAAGGGGGAAAAAAAAGCGCTATTTATGATTTTGACCAATATCTGGATCTTCAACAGATGAAAATGCACAGGATTCAATTTCCAGTTTTATTCTGCAGTTCACATATAAGGAAGGGCCTTGCTGAGGGCTGCAAAAAGAACTTAGAAAGTCCTGGCTTGCCTCTGCAAACGTGCCACTTCCCCAGCTAGAGTCCCTGTCTGGCTCAAGGATCAGGATCTTACACCGCCAAATATTTTCCTTAGCCCATGAAACCTGCATTAGGAGAAATGAGCTAAATATAGTCGGTACTACTTATTTAGTTCTTTCAGAGTATTTCAAGATTAAATAATTGGAAGCTCTTCAAAAAATTAAAAATGTCTTTCATATTGAAGGTTTTAGTTTGACATGCTATTTTCACTTCACTAAGCTATATTTTTAAACAGGTAACATAAGGGAAACAACTTCAAGATGAAACAAGATATTTTGAGTATCCCTGAACAAAAAGACAGAGTTCCCCTCAACCACCTTTTCTGTTAAAAGTTAAAAGAGAAAAAAAAATCACGCAGAGTCAGTCCACTGTAGCTTTTCCTATTTGTTTTTCCACTTCAGTCACTAGTAGATGAAACATATTTTTCTCTGGGCTCTAGTTAGCTCAGGAATCCCCCTGTAGCCTTGACCAATGTCATCCCTGGCATGTCAGCCAGGAGAAATGAGCTTGACCCAA